TGTGTTTGTAAATCTTTTGCTGGAAAAATCCTCACTTGTTTACTTTGTGGTAAATGTTCAAGAAGTACTGAAAACTTATGTGAATTTCTGGAACTTCATCTAGCTTTTCCTAATACGACTAATTACCAGTCCGTGCAAAGCTCATTGTTGAATCATCTGAAAATAGAATTTTTAACAGGTGATGATCGACTGTATTACCAAACATGTGCCAAACTAACTGACTGTTATAAGGAAACGAGTATAGCTGAGGCACCCTCTGACGGAAGCAAGAAACTCTTTGGAAGGTTCGAAATAGATGAACATTTCAATCTAGCAGACCATTATTATAGTATTCATGCAGTCATTGTTCACTGTGGTTCTGGAGTTGAATCTGGACATTATTACGCATTGGTCAAAGACGAAACAGACTGGTTTAAGTTTGAGGATGGTTGTGTGACGATCAATGGATTGAATCTATTGGAGCTTCTGGATACACCATACATTTTGTTTTATGAGAGAGAGGACATTGGTAGATCAAGATCTTCATATGATGTGGTGCTGCAGGTTTTTCCGGGTTTTCCTGCAGCTGAAAAAGCAAATGCGCCACTGGAATCGATGAAGTCGCCCCGGAGCGCCAATTAAGTCTCATCGTTGATTTTATTTTTATCGTTGTTGTCTTCAATATAATGATCATATGTGTGCTAAATATGGTCCAAAATATATCCCTAATTGAACTTACGTAAATCAGTACTCTCAATCAATTCAATCAACACCAAAAAATCGTCTCCATATCATACAGGGCGTGCTAAAATTACTATTATTTCCATTATGCATAAAATTGATCAAAAGTTCATTTTTTCGAATAAAACCTCTTATATGTTGAAAAATGCTTCAAGATGATATATCATGACCCTTTACCTGAATCATAAAGTTTTCTTAATAAAGTCACTTCTGGATTTTTTTTTAAGAATTTGGTTTTAGGTGGCAGTGGAATTATCAAGCTGATATGCAAAATGAATGCAAATATTGATTATTCAAACGAAGTTTTTATGAAATCATTTTTCTTCTAAAATTTGGCTTTATAGGAATATAGGAGCGTCAGCTCATTGTACTCAGGAAGTTACCAGGAAACTTTACGAAATGTTTGACGATCATTGGTTCAAGCGTCTAGGGCCGTGGAATTGGCCACCAAGATCACCCGATCACGCCACTGCACTTATAATGGGGTATTTTAAAAGAAAGGGTGAACAGTACTCCAGTGCCTACCAAAGAAGAACTCCGACGGCGAATAGTGCGGTGTATTGAAGATCTGGATCCCCATGAAATTGAAAAAGCAACCGCAAGTCGCGTACAAAAGACATTTTATAATGTTTAGAATGTAATGGACAACATTTCCAGAATTTATTATAAAAATGTAACATTTGTTATTTTTAATCATCCTTATTTTGTAATTTTCTGTACTTTCACATGTTATAGCCGAGAAAATCTCACTTTTTACCTAGAAATCCCCGATGTTTGGTACAATTGTTTCCTGAAACCCTTAAACCAAAGTTGAAAAAATCATTTTGTAACCCTACAAACTTCCTCTCTTTCAATGGTGTTAATTCAGGAAACATTTGGTTGGATTTTTCGCAAGTTCTGACAACGATTTGATCACTTTGTTCATGTGTAATAAATAATTTAATACGAACTTTATTTGAATAATCAATATTTGTATTTATTTTGAAAGATGCTTCGCAACACTGTCGATAACGACAAATTACTTATGAAATTACTTATGAAAGTAACCAAAATGTTATAAGCTTGATAATTCCACTGCTATCTAAAACCAAATTCTTGAAAAAACAATGTTTCCAGAATAAGTGACTTTATCAAGAGAACTTTATGATTTAGGTATAGGGATATGATATATCATCTCGAAGCATTTTTCAACATCTTTCAATTTATCGAGTAATATACAGGGGGTTCCATTCAAAAAATGAACTTTCGACCACTTTTAGCACGCCCATCAACCACAACTACCGCCGATTCCAAATAATACTGGATAGTTGAATATTCCACCATACTGCAAGCACTCAATGTAATGTCAGGAACTGAATGATTTTTATCACTTTGGACTCTTTATGATTTCTCAGAACTGTAGTTCTCATTGTTGAAAAGTTCACATTTGATGTATGCTTCAACTACTTCCGAAGTTAGCAGAAGCCTTTGGTAAATAAAATCCAACACCTACCATGCTGAGTTTTCATTATTGAATGCGGTAGGTAGCTAAAAAATTTATATTGTCCGCATCCAATAAAACCTAATGAGAAATTCCTTTATAGAAAATGGATCGAAAACGTGTTTCGCACAGGAAGGTATAATTAGTTTTCCTATAACTTCACTTCAATAAGCGAAGAGATGAGAGAATTGGAAAATGATTATCCAATCTACGCGTTCTTTTCCATAAGGCTCGATACGGCGTCCTTGGTATTCCCCTGTTATTCATCACTCGTTCAATAATCCCGAATGCTGCAAATTCCGGAATCCTGGAATTGGATCATTCAGAATTCTCTCAGATATATCTCCAGTGAAACTGACAGAAACGAAGGATTCATTACGTGCCACCGATTGAGAATGTTGGTATGTCAGTAAGTATTAAAAATAAGATGGCTATGATTGAAAAAACGTGAAGTGCAGAAAACAATATATGATAGACACGAAAGAATCAAGGAGACATGTCTGGATGATAATTATTGATCAATCATAGTAATCAACGCATTTTTTATTTACTGTCCACCTCGACTTTTTTCTGTTGTTTCTATTCCTCTGGTGTAAAAACTATCATTTCTCTTTATATATACAGGTGTTATTCATTATTCGTTATGATCATAACTTTCCTTTCTAATTTCATGCTAATTGAATTATGCGACTGCAGCATTTATAATATTTTCTTCCACTTCAACTTCTTCACACGCTGTAATGAACCAACATTCTCAAATACTTTCTCTTGTCTTCCATTTCTTCCCCATTTTTTTTCAAAAGTTTAATACATTTTACATGTCTCAAGACATACTTCTCATTCGTTGGAATGATCTGAATCTGGAGTGTGAATCAGTTATACTCATCGCTCATGTGTTTTATCAGCCATTTTTTCCAGTTTTCTGAATATTTTACTTTTGCCTCTTTCATTGTTTCTGATCTTCTGTCGTTAATTTTTGTTCTCCCAATTTTTGGTGTTTCTTATGATCATGCCTTGCTTTCCGTTAACTGTATTATGTAATTCCAGCATTTATAACCTTTTTTGAAAAAAACTTCTTTTCGCGCGCTCGACTTGGGGAGTAAGTTGGTGAATGCGTAACAGGATCGTTACGGAAAGTGTGATCGGACGAGGCGAACGTTGAAGTGAAAGTTCTTTACGCACGCTTGACTTGGTAAGTAAGCTGGTCAATGAGTGACGAGAGCGGCGTTACGAAACGTGTGATCGGGTGAGGCGAACGTTGAAGTGAAACTTCTTTACGCGCGCGTGACTTGGGAAGTAACCTGGTGAATTCATGATGAGACTGTGTTACGAAGTGTGATCGGTCAAGACGACCTCTTATGTGGTAGCCACTGTATGCAAAATACTGAGCTATGAATACAATTGAATTGAATACTCTTTACTGTCAAATTCTTATGAAAATTGATAACTAAAGACCAGTCGCTTTGCTATTGGTGGAATAAAAAATCATGGAGAAAGTCGTAAACCACTATATCCTCAAATATTTGGAGGTCTTCAACATCTTGAGCGATCATCAATATGGTTTTCGGAAACAAAGTTCAACAGGCGACCTTCTATCGTATGTCACACATGATTGGAATAACGCAATCGAAAAATATGAAGAATCAATAGCTGTTGCGCTTGATATTTTTAAGACCTTTGACCGTGTATGGCATGAGGGTTTGCTGGCCAAACTTTGATGCTATGGCTTTTCAGATCATTTTTCTTCAAACAGATGAGTATCGATAAGATTGTTGGAGGTTAAAATGGACACCAATATGTCTTGGCACAATCATGTCGCTGGAATTGTAAAGACTGCTTCTCAAAAGCTTGAAACACTGTCCCGATCCAGAAAACTATACACACCTCAGCAACTTTTGATGCTTTATAAGGCGCAGATCAGATTTTCTTTGGAATATTGTTCTCATGTATGGAGCTCTGTCCCCAAAC